AATGTGTTATTAAAGAAGCACATTGCTGTATCATAAATTTTTAAAAATATTTTGATGGCAGCATTTCAATATAATTGATTTTCTCTGTTATCCTATGTTTTTATTTATGCATTTGAGAATGTTATCCTAAGAAGGGGTCCATAGGCTTCACCAGGCTGCCAAAAGGATCCATGGCACAAAAAAGGTTAAGGACCCCTGGTCAGTGGAGTAAAAGCACAAGCTCTATAGCCAGACAACCTGGATTCAAATGCAGGCCCTGCCAATTTCTAGCACAATGAGCACAATGATTTGAACTCCCTGAGCCTTGCATTTCCTCATCTTGATCGAGGGAGTCAATATAGAAACAACACCTACCTTGTGAAACCATTCATTCATCAAAAATTTAACTGAATACCTACTTTGTGCCAGGCACAAGGCTGAGTTCTGGGGCTACAGTAATGAACTGGACAGAGACGGTCCCTAAGCACTTTATACAGAAGATCATGCTATATAAAGTGTTTGGCAGTGACTGGCACATAAGCATTCTATAAACACTACAGTACCACTGTTAAAACCACAATATTGAGCATTCAATTATATGCTGACTTGCGTTGCTTCCCATGTAACAAGTGTTGGTTCATCTAGCTCACGCCTTCTCAACAAGGCTTCCCGGAGGCCCGGGGCGGGGCCTCATACTCAGAGGGGCAACTTGTTAGATGCAAGAACACAGGATTTGAACCAAATGGTCCTGATTTCAAAACCCTGTTCTGCCACTTCCTAGCTTTGTAACTGTGCCAGGGACCAAGAGCTGCCCCCCCCAAAATTCTGTCCTCTCCTTCCCCTACAATAATAGAACCCCAGTTTTGGCTGGATACTTAGAATTAAGGATGACATTTCCCAGCCTCCGTTGCAGCAAAGTACGGTCATGTGATCAAGTTCTAACCAATGGGGATATAAGCAGAAGCAATGTGTGCACGAGGGCATGCCCTTCACCAACGCTTTTCCTCCTTCCTAATGGTTGGGGCTAGCACAGCCCTCCTGGACCATGAGATGACCTTGGGAATAGAGGCATGCACTTGGAACAAGACAGAAAGGACCTGGATCCCCACCCCTGTGGAGCACCATTTCAGACTGGTACAGTCATCTACCTCAGGCAAGTTCCTTAACCTCCCTGGACCTCAATATCCCCATCTTCGAAAGAATGATAATATAAGCTATCTAGCTGGCAAGACTGTTTGAGGATTTAATGAGATAGGACTTGCTTCACAGTAAGGGTTAGACTTAGGAGAGGTGGTGGTACTGCTGTTTTCTTGCTGCAATGACAAATGGAGGGGATTGGGACATCTTAACACAGCCCTAGGTGCCCAGGGGTGGCTCAATGATTCACACAGTTGAAAGGCATCTTAGCGAGCCTAGTCCTGACAAGAATTCCCTTCTCTAGCACCCCTGTCAAATGGTCCCCAGAAAAGGGAAGGGCACTGCCTCTGGGACAACTGTTGGGCCAGTGGTGCTTGTTCATCCGTAAATCACGATCTTCAACCTCTTCCTTCAGAACTCTTCCCCCGACTACCCCAGGCCACCTCGCTGCTCTCCGCTTCCTCCTCATCTCCTCTGCCTTTGATCACCCAGTCCTGCCTCTGAGCTCACTCCCCCCAGAACATCAAAGTCCCTTTCAATCTCTTTCGGAAGCACCCTCTGGCCTCTCCCCTAAGAAGCCTTCCCTAACTAACTGGGAAGGTCGCGATCGCTTCCTCAGTCCCAACCTATTCAAACAAGAGGCTTTTCAAACTCTACGAATGAATTTCTCTCCCACTGGAGAACACAGATGACCATCTGACATCTACAAGTTCTCTGTGTTGATCCAGGGATGTCCCAATCACTTACGTTTTTCATTGCTAACACTTTCAAAGCTATTTCATCTCGTTTGCCACATCAGCACTGGTCTGGAAGGCCTAACTCTTCATGGTTACACAAAATCGAAATCTGCTTTATGTGCCTAAAGCTTATGTTCAACTTTCCTGATTATTCCCTTCCTGCTCTTGCAGACGCAAATGCTATTGTCTCCCCCACAGTGCTGTCACCTTTCCACGTCCCTGTCACTCACACAGGCTGCTCCCTGCCCCGGGCCTAGGCACAGGCACAACCACTCTCTTCTCTCCTCATTCCCTTTCACACTCAAGCCCCTGTTCTCTCTCATCTTCTGCCCCTCCGGCTCCATCCATTCTCAGTAGCGGAGACTCTACTATCCTCTTGGCTCAACCAAGCCCACGCTTAAGACGGCTTTCGAACTGGAATAAGGGTGGCCATGGCAGCCGATGGTTCCCTAGTTGGGTGGGGCACCCAGAGCTGCAACAGGACGAAACAAGACACGGTGGTCAAGAGTGCAGGAATCGGTACCCAAGCAGGCAGAAAAGGAGGAACCTGATCCAAGTCCTAGACATCGGTAACGGAAGGGAGCGGAAAGTACGGGTCTGATGATGTCGAGGGAGTCACAAGCATCTCAGATTTACCCTGTACGCCCCTCACATACTGTCACAGGGTTTTCTCAAATTGCCACTTCTGGAGGCTGGCGGCACCTGTATCAGTCTCACTTTGCAGAGCACTTAAACTGGCCCTACTTTTTACATACAAAATTGTATCCCAAGCGTGTGACCTACCTGGACACAAAGCCTTGAGAGGCTCTGTTATTTTCAATTCATATTACACATTAATTTTCATTACACAGCCAGAGTGCTGACACATGAATCCGATCACACCAGATTGCAAGCAAGAAATAAGACCCCAACCTGGCTTTTGCTCCCTCCACAAAGACCTTCTAGTCTCCAAGGTTAACAAAGTAGTAGCGAGGCCCCCTCCCTGCCATGCTGCCAGCCATCGAGTGATAAGAAAAGGTGAGATTTCACCAGTGGGGATCAAAAACCCAGGCATGTCCAGAGTTCTAAACCTCCCCCACTCTCACCCAGGTGTGCTCTTTGGCCGCCGTTCCCCTTTGACACCACCTTGACACTCATTTTCCTCCATGGCACCTGTTTATACTTGAGGCTGGGAGTGGAGGAAAGATACTAGTGCCCAGTGCCAGGGCTCCACTCCAGCGTGGCCCAGAGGGTGAACAGAAGGGGAACCAGCCAGCAGCCTTACCTTTCTGGAGCAGCCAGGAGAAACAAAAGGCACAAATGTCACATTGCCTTGTTTGCCCATTGGTGATTCCTTCTCCTACCCTGGGCCCCACCCTTCCACTCAGCCCTCTTTCCCGCCTTAGCCACACCATCAACCCCATGCCCAAGCCTCCTGGAGGGCTCGCCTGTTTGTCCTCTTGTATCCACATGAATCACTAATTACTGATTTAAACCCACACACTAAGTGAATGACAAATACCAATACAATACTTAGGACTGGCGAACGGAGAGCTACCTGTCTTCTTGACTCTGCCTGAGCATACAGGAGACACAGAGACACTGTATCCTGACCCACACCTGAGCAGAAGACTGACTAAACTTGCCGTCAGACTGGGTGTCCCTGTGAGTGTTGAGGAGGGGAGGGCAGAGCTGGCAGTGATGAACTCACACACCGGTTCTCCAACTCAGCTCCACACTGGAATTGTCTAGGAGAGGTAAAAGACTCATGCCTGGGTCACCTTCCCAGAGAATCTGGTTTAATTGGTCTGGGGTCGCTGCCTGGACATCGGGATTTTTTAAAGTTCCCCCAGTGATTCTAACATGCTCCCAAGTTTGAGACCCACTGATGGCACATACTTACGTGCTCCAGACATTTTTCAAAGCAGTCAAGACCTTTAGAAGACCTTATAGCCTTTAACTGTCAAGGTAGCCCTTGGCGGTACACCCCATTTTACTGTGATTCAGACGTCAATCATAGTCAGGCTGAGATCTGAACTCAGGTTCTCCACCGCAAAGTCCACTCTCTTTCCACTCTTCTGTGAACTCTTGCAAGGGTGTAGACAACACACGAAAGCAATCTCCACTGCCAGTAGATCACAAGTAAGTCCCATAAATGCAAGACACCTAGATGTGGAGATGCAAACACCACAAGCAGCAGTGATGACCTCTTCTGAATGCAGGGGACTGAGCTGTACCCAGAGGGCAGCGGGGTGTACTCACGTGCGAAGTCTAAGGCAATGGAGGGAGAGGATGCATCAGATCCTGGCCAGGGAGCTTATCCTAGACCCAAGATGTGTCCTGAGATACCACACTTAAGAGTAAGACAGCACTCAGTGGCATGGAAAGCACTGTTGAATCGGAGAATGTCGGGCAAAGGGGGGACTCTTCAATTGGGAGGGAATCTTAAGAGAGGTGTCAAGGGTTCACCTCTCAGGACACAGTTTCTCCATCCCGATCTAACCATCCTAACCTTCTGTGGAGTCACAAAACCCAATCCTAGCACAGCCCCTACCAGGCACCACTCCTCCAGTCTCTCTTACCCCCAGAACTACGATCTGAGCTTCTTTGGTGAGGGGACATATGACTAGACCCTCAAACATTTTTAGTCTACTGATCACTTAGGTAGGACAAAGCATCCCTTCGACCCCTATTCCACCCACGCTTAGTTCCCCCTCAAAAAAACCAAAAAACAAAAAAAACACCATCGTTATCACCAAACCCACTTTCCTGAGAGTGGGAATAACGTTGCCACTTCGGATCGGATTAGGAATTGATGTGGACTGACACAGACATGAAGACGCTGAAGCACCATGTTTATACAATACAAGAAACCAATCCACGATCCGCATGGAGTCCCTAAAGCGTCGACACAGATGGGGGACCCCACGGCGGGGCCCGGGACAGACACTTAAGGACAGCAAATGTCCCTTCTTAAAGACAACAAACGATGTGCCACCTTTCCTCCTGGGTCAGAAATGGGGCTCTATTCCAACCTGTGACACACACCGCTGCCTCCCGGGGTCCCCCAAAGCCGAGTGTTGATGGGAAAGAACCACAAGGAATTACAGGAGCCAAGAGCAGGTTACACTTTCACATCGATCGTGCTGATAAGCAGCAGCCACTTACCCAGCACAGCCAGACAGCTCAGCACTGGGAAAAAGCACTTCATGTCGGCAGCTGAGAGGAGACACAACACAGGGCGCTTCCTCTTCTCCCAGCAGTTAATCTCTCATTTCTGGCAATCCACTTATAGCTCCAGAAGACAGTTTTGGAAACAGAACTTAACTCAGGGAAGGAGAACGGGTTAAAGAGCTCAGCAGGAGGGAGTGGGGGAGGGGTGGCGGGTGGCAAGTGTTAAACTCCCCTAGGCTAAAGGAAGGGTCCAGGACAATTCGGACGGCGCTGGAGGCTCCTGCCACATCCTGTGCCTTGTGGTTTCCACTGTAATTGTAGATTGCGGTGGATTAATCCTCAAGGAAAAGGGAAAAAAGAGTCTGAGAAAATCCTTTCATCCACTGATTATACAGAAATGTCCTTGGCTTCGCAGTGAAGGTGTCTGTAATCTCCCTCATTCGGATTCCCCAAAGGGAACAGGGCAGGTTTTGTCAAAACCTTTGACAACCAAATCGCCCTGGTCGGCATCGACTGCTCTGGGTTTCTTCATCAAAAAGTCCGTCTCCGTGCATGATGGTGGATCACGGGGCTGCCACCTGCCCCAGACCTGCCCGCAACGCACGAAGCAAGTTGGCGTTCGTTCGGCAGCCCTGAAGCGGTCCCACAATGCCAGCAGCTTTCTAAAACAAACACAACAGAGATTTATCAAAGGCAAGCACGGCCGCCGCAAAAGCGAGAGGGGCTGAGCGCCAAGCTGGTCCGGGCACCTGGTCCTGGACCAGGACGGTCAACCTTTGCAGTCTGACCTTGGCCAAGTCGCCACCTCAGCCTCCACTTCAGTTTCCCCGCACAGAGCCGAGCAATTGTGGGAAGCCCGATTGTTCCTGCAATACTTTCACCAAATGCTTCACTCCTGGGAATTCCTTCCGCCTCCCACCGAGCCCCGGCGCCGCGGGTAGCCCCACCCTCCGCGGGGGCAAATCGGGAAGAGGCTCCGAGGTGGGGCCGCCACTCCCCGTTCCACCCCCGGCCCTCGCCCCAAACGTGGGAGCTCTGCGCTCGCCGCGTCTCAGGTGGCCCCGCTATTGTTTTACCTTCCCGGGTGTTTTTTTTTCGCTGATTGGAAAGAAAAGAGAAGGAGGGAGAAGGGAGCCCGGGGCTCCGCTTTCGCTGCCAGGGGAGGGGTCTCAGGCCGACCCCCCGAGCGGAGCCGCCGCCAGGCCCACCGCCGCCCCTCCCACCGCCCTCCCCCCGGGCTCCGGCTCCCCTCGCTGCCGCCCCTCCCCGCGCCGCGCGCGCGGTCGCCGGATACCGACCTCGCCGCTGGCCCTCTCCCTTCGCGCGTCGGTCCGTCGGTCCGTCTGCCCCGGCGCACGCCTCTAGGGACGCGCCGCCTCCTCCCTCTGCTCCGGCAGCGGCACCAGCAGCCGCGCGCCGGCCCCTCCCCAGTCCCCGCCCCCTCCACCCGGCCCGTTGCACCCGGGCCAGCCGAGCGCGGGGCGAGGGCGGTGGCCTCGGCTAGAGGCACCGCCCCCGGGCTCGCCCCTTCCCCCCCAACCCCGGGGGCCGGGCGGCCGCGCTGGGGGCCGGGCGGGGGCTCCGGGTGCGGCTGGTGGAGCTCCGCCCGCACCTGCGGGTAGCAAGGGCCGCCCGAGGACCTGGGCGCAGCTGGCGTGGGGGCCGGGCAGCGCCGAAAGTTAATCAGGGGGCTCACACGCAGACTAGCCGGCCGCGGGCTGGATGCACAGGCCCTTCCCAAAGCCCAGCAAAGGACCCCTGAGCCTGGAAGAGGGCGGACCGGGAGCGCGTCCCCTCTCTGGGAAACGAAAACAAAGCCTTCTGCAGGAGCCTTGAATCTGTTCATATAGTAGAACCCCACATTGCACTTCACTCTAAGACAGAATTTCCTAGACGTTGAGACTGAATTGGACTCTGGAAACAGTCTGGCTTCTTCTAACCCCTGCTCTTCCACTTCCCTGCAGCGGACCTTGGTCGAGTTACTCAATAGCCCTGTGCCTCAGTTTACCCACCTGTTATATGAGGAAATGGCCTATGCTTAATAGGGATATATGAGATGTCCATGGCACACTTGTAAAACACTTAGGATGGTGCCTGCTACATCTTAAGCACTCAGTAAATTCAAGCTATAATTATTTTATGAGGAACACTCGTATCCAAGCAAGTGCATTTTCATTCATGCAATACTTGTCTAACACACGCATGTACTGAGTAAGCACAGACCCGAGGTAACCAAGGTAGAATAGGACAATCTTGCCCTCCTGGAGCTTGCAGTCTAGTAAGGAAACCATAAAGCAGGTATGGCAGGAAAAGAACAGTGTTGAGGAATCACATGCAAGGCCTCTGACCCTGTGTTGCGGGGTCAGGGCATGAGGAGGAGGGGGGTTTGATCAGATCAGGCCAGGTGCGGGGAAGCCTTCTCAGAGGGAATGAAAACTAGGTAGAATCCAAAAGAGCAGAAGGAGACAGCAGGGGGAGAGAGAGGAGGAAGGGGAGGACTCACAGGCCCTGGAATCAGTATCCTTGAAGGCCCGGAAGGGAGAGAGAGAATGGCCCAGGTAAGGGATCAGAGATCTCTGTTGGGCCCAAACTAGTCTTTAAGAAAGAAGTGGCAAGAAACGAGCAGAGAAGAAATCAGGGGTCAGAACCTGAAGGGCTTTGTATGATGTGTTAAGGAGTGTGGACTTTAGCCCAGAGCCATAGCAAAGCCCCTGCAGATTTTGAGTAAGGCAGTATTGTTATCAGAAGTACATTCTAGAAAGACCATTCTGGCCTAGGTGTGGAGGATGGATGGGAGGGGAGTTCTACAGGAGGCTCGACGTCTGCAGACGAGAGATGACGATGACCAGGACCACAGAAGTAGCTAGGCTCTGTGGAATGCCAGGTTGAGGGTGAGGCATGGAACAGAAAAACTAGTGCAACCTCAGCAACTGAGATCACAGTACATAGGATCGGATTGGATGTATTGAGCTTGAGATGCTCAAGAGGCATGCAAATGAAGATGTCCAAAATGTAATTGGGGTGGGGGGTAAGGGTAGAGCGGAATTCAGAAGTCAGAAAGGTACTGTGGCTTTGTAAGGTATTTTTCACCCCCCTGGACAGTGTGATGGTGACAGTATTTAGTGAAGAAATAGTCTGATAATTCACTGATACCAAAAAAAAGGAAAAAATGTTAATTACCCCCTCCCCTCACCAGGGTGCAGGGCAATGAAGGTCATGCTATGGGGATGCAAAAATAACTAAGGGGTCTTGTTGCCCTCACCCCTCTCTCTTGGCTATAAATTTCTTGTGGGCAGGATCTGCCCTTTAATTATCATTTACCCCAAACAGCTCTTGACATTGTGATCTGCCTACAATAATTACACTATTAATACTTCGACCAAATTGAATTAAATTAAATATTTATCACATCTGCCAAGTATTGTATTGAAAATCTCTTCTTGTGTTAAATATTACCTCTTTCCCCCAAGACAGCCCTGACTCCGGCATCTCTCACTTCTCCTTATCTGCTAGACCCCTTCCTTAATTTATTGAGCGTCTATTATGTGCCAAGAAAACTCTCTGCTCTCGCTCGTGGTGCTTACATTCTCATGGGAAACACAGACAATGAGACAAAGAGGTATATGGCATAATGTGACGTATTCTGAGGAAAACTGGGATAAGGGAATATGCATGTATGTGTGGGGGGTTAGGAGGAAGATTCTGCTCTAAGTAGGCGGTCAGGGAAGGTCTCACAAAGGCAGTGACATCTGAGCTGAGATCAAATTAGAAGGAGTGAGTGAGCTGCGGATATTTCTAGAGGAAGAGCATTCCAAGCTTAAGGGAGAGCAAGCACAAAGCCCCTTAACATGCTCTGATAACAGAAGGTGCGTTAGTGTGCCTGAAATGGCATAGGAGGGAATGAGAAGGAGAAATATGATCAGGGACGTTGCAAAGGCAAAATCCTGTAGGACTTTGAAGGCTTGGGGGCAGTCTGGGGTGGGGGGGACTACAGTGTTGGGAGATAGGAGTGGAAGAGGCACACTGAAAAGGTGACAGAGGATAGTGGCTCAGACTAGGGTGGCAGAGATACAGGTTGTGAGAAATGGGTGGCGTCTGGAAGCATTTTAAAAGTAGATTCAATGGAATTTTCTGGAGAACTGGATATGGAAGGGGCGAGAAAGAGAAGAGTCGAGGATTCTTCCAGAAGATCCACCTCAGCCTGCAATGGAGCTCTCAGCCCCACCAGGCTGTCCAACCCCTTCTCCAAAACCACGCTTCCCAAGCATTCAATCCCCAGTCCTCTGCCCAGGCCACTTCCTGCATCTTTGAACCCTGTACTCAATTATCCCTTCTCAGTTCTTTCCTTCTCAACCCACCCCACCTCCTACCACCTAGACCCCTGGCGTCCCTCTGGATGATCTGTCAACCCTGGACTTCCATCACCACCCCAGATATGTTATGACTGGTTCCCAGCCTAGTATCTTTCCTATTTCCACATTGATATTCAAAGAGCTGTGCTGTCAGGCGGGGAGAGTAAAGTACAGTTAAAAGAATGCCTCTGCCCTTCGGACAGAGGAGCAAGCACATGAAGTAAGTGCTGAAGAGTGGCCCTTTCAGGAGATCATCCACAGGCCGAGAGAGACTCAAGTCACAAGGGAGGGAGAAGAATCCAAGGAGGAGAGAGGACAGGAGTCCCCAGTCAGCAAATGTCTGGTGCCCAGGCTGAACATTAGCAACTTGCTTCAAAACACCTTACGTTGGAATGTTGAAGCCTCTCCTGGACTGGTCTGGAATCGGGTGGATAGTGCGAGTGTTTTGGAAAACTCAGTCTTCTGCCTCAGGGAGTCAAACGAAAAAGGCTACGGATACACAGCTCCAGCAAAGCGCTGCACTCGAGAACAAAGGTCCAGTATTGCCTGATTTTCCTACTTTTCAGGAAAAGCAGTAAATCCAGATGTTCACTGAATTCTCCCTAATTTTATTTGTTGGAAGCTAGTGTTTAAAAATGAACACTCTTGGGGAACAAGAGCACAGAATTTCTTTGTGGATAAATATGGCCAAGTGGTTCTGTCTGTTTTGACATCTCCAGACCTGCTGTGGCTGCAATCGAAAGACTAATATAAAACCACAAGTGACAGAAAGTTCTATTTTTTTAAAAAGGAAAAAAAGGAAGGGGGCACTAACCTCGTTCTCTGTTGTCAGCTGAAAGAAAGTTGAGGGCAAGGCATTTTGCCTAAAGATAGCCTGACATTGCGTGCTCACAAGCACTGATGTTAATTGCTCCTAATGCATCTTGAAATGCTGGGTGGAAATAGCAATGCCTTCCCTAAACAGCCAAGTCAGAGCTCAAAGTGCCACTAAACCATCTTCCTGGTAGAAGCTTCCTTCTTGGTGATTACCCTCCTGCGCAGGCGAGGATCCCCAGAGCTGAAGATGAGGAATAGCTTACTCAGGATACCATCTGTCTTTAAAAAATATAGAGTTGACTCTTATATGTTGAGATGGCGTGGTAAAGGGGTAGGCCCCTTAAGCTTTCCCCACAGCTGGGTGCTCAGAACCCAAGGGGTGCCATCTAGCGTTAGAGAAGGGTCTGGACTTGCACCCACCCGCCCATGGAACTCTGAAGGCTGGTTCATCCGGGATGAAAAGTAAGATTCATTCAGCGAACATTCTCCTTCCTCCACAAAACTCCACAGCTGTGCTCGCTTATTCTCCGGCTGACAGAGAACAGTGGACCTGCAGCAGGATGCCTGGGTTTGTGTGATCTGCACTTACTGACACTCAACTCTGGTCAAGTCACTTCACCTCCTTCACCCTAGGTTTCTGGTTTGTAAAAAGGGATCGCAATAGCACCTGCCGTCGCAAGGAGCTTGTGAGGATTAAACGAGCTGATATGTAGAAAGAACTTAGCAAAATGCCTGGTACTTAGTTCTCAGTACTCATTAGCTATTCTCTTCACTGATTATAAACCTCACACAGTCCAACGAGCCGGGAACCAGGAACCAGAAATTCGAGCTTTCAGTCCAGACTCTGCTGCTTATGCTGTCTTTTGACCTCTCTGGACCCAAGTTTCGTCTTCTGTAAAATGGGGTTGGTCAGATAAGTCAGAAGGCCCCAAACTGCTGTGCTTGAATTACTCCAGAAACATTAAAATACAGATTCCCAAGCCCCATCCCAGAAGATTCAGTTTCCAAGCATCGGTGTGAGACTGGACTAAATGAGTTCTAATGGCTCTTCCAGCTCAAAATTTTATGATAGATCTTTCCATCATAAATGGAAATTCAAGATCCATCTCCTCTATCCAAGTCCATTTCTAATTTTGTTTGGGAGGACCCTCAACTACAATAGCATGTCACCTAGATCAAAAGAATTAGAAGAACCCATCATTTCCACCACTATTCCATTCTAAACCTAGTCCTGACCGTGTCAAGAGGCTCACCATCCTTCCCACCCCAA